TTGAATTGAATTGAATTGAATTGAAATTGAATAGATGCAACAGGTGAACAATGCAAAGTGTGATCAGGATGCAAGTATTTAAGCACATTAAACTAATCTTAACTCAGTGGATGATGATGATGGAGTGAGCAGATTTAAAATGAACTAATTCGACTCACTGAAATGTCCTTCCTGAGTATTTAAAGCAGTTTTGTTTTTTTTCTCAGCAGAGCCACTTTATGCCTCAAGGTCTCCACCAATCTTGCTGCAGAGCGTCCTCCCCTTTGCTGCATCCTGATTGGTCGCTGCAGGCCGACGCCGGCTTTTCATTGGTTCCTGCAACCCCTCGCAGCGACGGTGTTGTTTCCGCCGTGATCACGCCCAATGATAATCCACGGACAACAAACGCCCACGCTTCTTACAGCTTCCTCGAAAATAACACATCTAGTCCGATTCATTCAACAAAGTCACAGGAAGATTCAGATTTCCTTCCTCCTGTGATGGAGGGTTCAGGCCGCTTTCATTGACAGCTGCTGGGTGAGTGGTGATTAGGAGAGAGAGAGGCGGGTGTTTGGGTTCAAATCTGAAACTGTAACTTCATCATATGTTTACATGGATTAGTTCAAACTTTGGACTGAAATTCCTGCTAAAATAAAGCTTTAAAAAGGCGCTTTTAACTAAAACAAAACAACCTGTCAGTTTATTTCCGCTTGTGATTGTGGACCAGGAGTTAGATGGGCTCGTTTTGACAGGATGCTTTCATTTTAGCACAGTAATAATGAATCAGTGAATTAAAGTCCTATTTGCTGTCGTTAATTTTAACCTAGAGCATTTATAAGGAGGAACTTCCTACATTTTTACGAGCGTCTCTTTGAAAGATTCCAGAATCTACCACTAGATGGCGCCCTACTCTCATTCAACACTGAGATAATGGGGTCAGGTAACATCCATTTAAGGCTTTAGACAGGTGCATCTCAGCAAATGGTATCAAAACATTGTTGTTTATCTCATCAATTCAACTCATAAAGTGAATTTATTATTATAGTTCAATTCCGTTTATTTCTATAGTGCCAATTCACAACACATGTCATATCATGGCACTTTACAGTTCACCAGATCATACAGCAAAGTTGATTCAAAGTTTTCTATCTAAGGAAAACCAGTTGATTGCATCGACTCATTGGCTCGAATGCAATGCCTCACACTAAGCATGCTTGTTGTAGCGACAGTGGAGAGGACAAACTCCATTTTGACAGCAAGAAATCTCCAGTAGAACCAGGCTCAGTGTGAGCGGCCATCTGCTGAGACCAAAAACAACACCAGGATTTTTTACTTTATTATCTGAACTCAATTTAATCCCATCCAAATGAAGTGACTGACTGATCAGCTTCTTTTACAAAGAATCTGGTCCAAAGACTATGACTTCTGTTTTGGTCTGCATTCAGAAGCAGAAAGTTAAGAGTCATTCAGGTTTTTATGTCTTCAAGACATGCCTGTAATCTATGTAATGTGTTAGCTTCATCTGGATTTATAGACAGATACAGCATAACATATCATCAGCATAACAGTGGAAATTAATCCCATGCTCTCTAATAACTCTACCGGTTGGGTAGAGTTTTGACATACAGTGCCCTCCGCAATTATTGGCACCCCTGTTTAAGATGTGGTCGAGGACTTTAAAAAAATTGTCCTTTTCTTTTAAACAACAAAGAACACATCATTTCACATTTTTTGTTTTCTAAATGCATGATTTTATTTTTTTTACCACCAAAGTAATGTACTTAAATAAAAGGTTGGATTTTTCTCTTTTTTTGCATTTGGGTTCTTTGTTGTTTAAAAAAAAAAAGAGAGAGAACTTTTTTGAAGTCCTTGAACACATCTTCAACAGGGGTGCCAATAATTGTGGAGGGCACTGTAGATGATGCATTTCAAGCAAAAGGTACGTTTCCTTTTTGGCCTACTTTATTTAATGCAGGTTCCAGTTTCTGTTGGAAGATTCAACTGGCTTTTATAAAGTTAGTCTGTAGAAAGAAAAATGAAGTGCTCTAAATTCAGCAGTACTAGCAGATAACATCAGTACTGAAATCCACACCCACTCTGGGAAACATTTCATATGTGGGTTTCATTTGGAAACATTTCCAAAAAAATAAAAAAAGTAACAACAAAATAAAGCAGCTTAAAAAAGGATCTATGGAACACAGTCATTTTTTCCTTAGCCCAGTTACAGAT